CTGTTTCCATCGTGGAGGTGGGGAGATGCAGGCCAGGCCAAGTGCTACTTGCCTGAAGTCCCGGAGAGGGTCGGGGAGGGTCTAGTCCCTTGCCTCGTGCCCTGAGCACCTCACCTGCCTGCGCTGTCCCAGCGCGTACAGCTCTCTTGCAGACACCTCGGGTTGGCTGTTGCAGGGTGGGATGGATCTGCTTCTACTCCTTGTCCTTCTCATCTGCTGGGTGATCAACAGGGATCCTGCTTCTTCTTGATAAAAAAAAAAAAATCACAAATGCTCCGCTAACACTTCTCAAATCCATGATTAAAATTAAAGGCCCCCACCCCTCCTACAGCCCTTCCCATACCCTGCCGGTGCCCCTGCTCCCCCAGCCCTGCCGGAGGGGGCCCCAGCTGCCAGGGCTACAGACTGGGGTCTACAGCCCCCTGCTCCCCCCGCCGTGGGCTCAGGTGGGGAGGCTCCCCACTGCTGCATGCACTTCCAGGGGGCAGGAGGGACCTGCGTTCCCCCAGATCTGTACCTGGGGCAGGCATGGGCTGAAGCTGCTGCCCATCTGGATAGGGCTTGGGGCCCAGGGCTGCAGTGTGCAGCTGCAGGGCCCCAGCCGGGAGCAGGACAGGGCTGCCCCCCTCCGCCCCCAAGCAACTGCCTCCAGTGCCAGCTGCAGCTTTGGGGGGCGCAGCCCTGCACCGCTGCCCTCGCTGCATCCCCACATGTAGGCGGCGGGGAAGCGAGAAGCAGCGAGCAAGTTTTCTGCGTGGCTTCTTGGCTCACTGCCCTGCTCGATCAGCGGGGGAAGCAGGGTGGCAGGAAACAGTGGCGAGCAGGGGGCCTGCTATTCCCTGCTGTCCTGCTCCCCCCTTGTGACTGCGCAGCAGGGAGCGGAGTAGCCATGCAGAAAACCTCCTCTCCGCTTCTCAAGCCCCACCCAACTGGGCAGCAGCCCCAGCCCTGCCTAGCTCCCTCCCTACAGGGGTTTCTATCCCCCTTTCCTCCCTCATCTTACCTGCGGGAGCTACTCTCAGGCTGCCTGGGACCGCATGCATGTCTGTGCACATGACGCCCCCTGTCCTTCCGCCTTCCTCCTGCTCCCTCCCAGCTCCTTGCAGAATGGCATAATCTATGGGTTTCTTGGGTAAAACGACAAATCTGCATTTGCCTCTGGTAAAAAGCAAAATCTGTGGTTTACTCCATTTGTCCATGGGAAATGGAAAACCCAGATCTCTGGTGATCAGGGGAAGTTGCTTGCTTGATTTGGATTTGTATCTGTCTGTTTCTCTCTCTTTAAAGTGTCTTTGCATTTGTGGGTGAAAAGTGCTGTGCAAGAGCTAAGTATCATTGTTATATTTCAGAAATGCATCGCCATGTGCATGGACCGGTACATGGATGCCTGGAACACAGTCTCACGAGCCTACAACTCCCGGTTGCAGAGGGAGAGAGCCAACATGTAATAGGCATCCAGCAGGCCTGGTAACACCCTTCTGTACACTCTTCTCTGCGAGAAGAGAACTGAATTCTGAATAAATAGAAATGGACCTTCTTAAAAATGAAAGGAATGACCAGTTTGGATTGTGGGACTGAAATATTTGTGATTTGGCAATTCCAGCTCTCATCGTGCCAGAGCATAAATCCCCATTGAACTGTTTATATTTTTACCCCATATTAATCTACTTGAGCTCATGAAGCCTGGGAGAAATCTGGCTGGACTGCCAGTTATTGCCATACTCTCTCCTAATGCTTGTGAGACTGCCAGGGGTTTGCTTTAAGAGCCTGGATGGACCCCCAGGCTCTCTCTGACACTGGTTAAGGAAAGAGCTACAAGGTGCATGGAATCCTTCGGGAAAGATAGGGCATTGAGCAACCCCCTTATGTGCCTTTCCCCAGGAGGCATGTGTGAGTCTGTATAACAGCTTTATCCTGTTGGTTTTAGCTGTGGGTTTGGTGCATCTGGTACGGAAGGTCAGTCACAGTCCTAGGGACATAGTTTTAGTGGATTAAGAGAGGTTCTGAGTTTCTGTAAGTGAGGGTGGGAGGCCCATCTGGACATTATACTGTTAAGTGCTGCAAACTGGCCTGTGGTGCAGGATGCTGGTAATGCTATATCTACAGTGAGATTGTGCTATCCTTGCTGTACCCTCCTCATCAGCTGGAAGATGAATGTTTTGGACTTTGTGTCCCAATTTGCCCCTATATGGAGTTCAAATTCTGGCTCCCGCCATCCTGTCCCAGACCCACATCAGTATTGTCATTTGTTTTATGAGACTGTCACTCTGTTTCCACGTGGCCTGCTGGTTTCTTTCTGATATTGATTAGACTGGTAGAAAATCCATAAAGAATATGAACAGGGAGCACAAACCTGCATGGAATTATATGTAGTAAAGATTAAAGGAGCTGAATTCAGCTACCTAACTAATTGGGCCTTTGTGTGTTCCCTCTTGTTTCTTCTCTCTTTCTTTCCCATCTCTGAGCTGAGTTCTTCCCCTGCCACTCAAGAAGGGACAAATCCCTGATCTAGGTATATGATTAAATATCTGTGACCACTTAGCAGCTGGCAGTACCACTCGCACCAATTCCACTGGGCCCCTTGGGAAACCGACCAAGAGCGGGCTGGTTACATGAGGGCTGTCTGCTCCATGCCATAATCCCCAGAAGAACTTCACTGGCAATTGGAATTCCTAAAGTGCTCCCCTGTTCTTAACCACTGACTTCTCTCAGACTGGTTGTTCTTTAGACTGTGTGAGTAATGGATCTTAAAGAGCATGGGGGCTGCTTGCAGGAAAAAAACACACTTGACTGGAAGAAGCAGTCTTTGACCCAGCTCTGCAGTGTCTGTGAAGATCAGGTGCTTCAGCA